ATGTTCGGAGGGGGGGGGGTGGACTATGTGAGTTTGTGGCGGAGGAGGGCGGTTACAGATCTTATGCAGCGGTCCTTAGCCTGGATGACAGAGCCATGCAGCTGGGGATCTGTAACTGCCCTCCCCCGCCACAAAGTCACATAGCCCCCACACACAGAGTCCCAAAAAGGAGGGGTGGCAGGCTCCGTTGAAACAACCAGTCCACCACTGCGGACCGCTCTAGGAGCAGGAGCCTGTCATTCCTCGAGTTTAGAAGCGTCCTTTCCATCACTACACTCGCTCCCCACCACAGTCTGCGTCCCAGTTTCAACCCTTTACCACGAAATCCTTAATAAAGAAAACGGTGTTAATGAACAAAGTTTCATTTATTTTCTTTTTAAAAGGTGTGTTGGAAGGGGGAAAGGGGGTTGGTAACTGGAGAGGATAGTCAACATTAACTGGGTAAAGAAACGGGCAGGTTCAGCTTCTGTTTAAACAAACTTAATAGTCACAGGTTACCCTGCTCACTCTGGAACCTAGCTTTCAAAGCTTCCTGGATGCACAGCGCGTCCCGCTGGGCTCTTCTAATCACCCGGCTGTCTGGCTGGGCGTAATCAGCAGCCAGGCGATTTGCCTCAACCTCCCACCCCGCCATAAACGTCTCCCCCTTGCTCTCACAGAGATTGTGGAGCACACAGCAAGCTGCAATAACAATGGGGATATTGGTTTTGCTGAGATCAGAGCGAGTCAGTAAGCTTCTCCATCTCCCCTTCAGATGTCCAAAAGCACACTCCACCACTATTCTGCACTTGCTCAGCCGGTAGTTGAAGAGTTCTTTTTCACTGTCCAGGGCGCCTGTATAGGGCTTCATGAGCCAGGGCATTAGCAGGTAGGCTGGGTCCCCGCGGATCACTATAGGCATCTCCACATCCCCAACAGTTATTTTGTGGTCCGGGAAGTAAATACCTCCTGCAGCCATCTAAACAGACCAGAGTTCCTGAAAACGTGAGTGTCATGAACCTTGCCCTGCCATCCGACGTTGATGTTGGTAAAACGTCCCCTATGGTCCACCAGTGCTTGCAGCACCATTGAAAAGTAGCCCTTTCGGTTAATGTACTGGTGGCCTGGTGGTCCGGTCCCAGGATAGGGATGTGAGTTCCATCTATAGTCCCACCGCAGTTTGGGAATCCCATCACAGGGAAGCCATCTATGATCACCTGCACGTTTCCCAGGGTCACTACCTTTGAGAGCAGTAGCTCAACGATTGCATTGGCTACTTCCATCACAGCAACCCCCACAGTAGATTTGCCCACTCCAAATTGGTTTGCGACTGACCGGTAGCTGTCTGGTGTTGCAAGCTTCCAGAGGGCTATGGCCACTCGCTTCTTGACAGTCAGGGCTGCTCGCATCCGGGTGTCCTTGCGCTTCAGGGCAGGGGACAGCAACTCACAAAGTTCCAGGAAAGTTCCCTTACGCATCCTAAAGTTTCGCAGCCACTGTGATTCATCCCAGACCTGCAGCACTATGCGGTCCCACCAGTCCGTGCTTGTTTCCCGGGCCCAGAATCGCTGTTCCACAGCATCAACATGACCCATTGCCACCATGATGTTCATGGCGCGGGGTCCCGTGCTTTGTGAGAGGTCTGTGCCCCTCTCAGACTTAATGTCCTCACCCCACTGCCGTAGCCTCCTCGCCCGATTTCTCAGCATCTGCCTCTGAAAAAGGTGGATGATAAGGTGCGAGGTGTTGCCAACGGCCATAACTGCAGTGATGATCGCAGCGGGCTCCATGCTCGCAGTGCTGTGGCGCCCGCGCTGTCAATCACCAGAAAAGTGCGCGAACTGATTGCCCGCCGGCGCTTTCACGGAGGGAGGGCGGGAGTGAGGGTTGAATGACGACAGTTACCCAAAACCACCCTCGACACATTTTTTGCCCCAGCAGGCATTGGGGGCTCGACCCAAAATTCCAATAGGCAGCGGGGACTGCGGGAACTGTGAGATAGCTGCCCACAGTGCACCGCTTCCAATGTCGACGCTTGCCCCGTTAGTGTGGACTCTCAAAGTCGAATTACTGTCCTTAGTGTGGATACACACGTTCGACTTTGTAATATTGGTTCCACAAATTCGCTTTAAGTAAAATCGAACTACTCTCGTAGTGTAGACATACCCTTAGACACATTTTCCATCGACAACAACAGAGGTTCATTTTATCTGTGATTTATCTGTAATCCCAATAATTAAGAACACCTTGTACTATAATATCCTAATCTTACAGTAATTACACAGTACAGTATCATTTAAACCAAACTGCACCTGTGTTTTCATCACTGAGCCATGTACGGATCCCATAGTCCTACTTGAACTCCTAGTTAACTAATTTTTCTTTCTACAAACAGTGCTACTGTATGAGCTCCTCTAAGTATGAAGGGTCTGGTATGGTTACTATTCCAAAGCTATTTGTGCCAGGAAATTAGCTCTAAAATGTAACTCCATGTACATATTTTCAGATCCTAGGTTAATGGTTTGATTTTCTAATTTTTTTAAAAAGGGAAACAGTTGAGCTGTTTTGTTTGAAAACACAAAACTAATAGAAAAATCCTGGAAGAGAATATCTACATATCATCATATTCCAATTTTAGAGGAGTTCATTTTAAAAAATCAAAAGCTCTAACCCTATGTGACAGGTTGTCTCTTCCCCATGCCATATTTCTGCAACTGAAATCAGGTGGAGGTTTTAAACTGTTGGTCGGTTGATTTTCCTCCTTACATATACATAATGTAAACTTCATAATTCATCACTCTGCTACAGAATTCATATCGTTTAGTCTTTTTTTACACAGTTCTTTCTTTCCCCATGCAGTATACTTTTGAATTTTTTATGTATTTCTGAATATTTCTAGTTTCTAAAGACACCATTTACAGATTTGCTGAAGCTTATAACAACTAAAGTGAAAATTAGAGTTGATTATAGAATGCACAACTGCCAAAATAAATAAAACATACAGGAGAGATGCAGCATATATATATTATATATATGAAAAAAAATGTGCGGATTTCAACAGTATCATGCTGCTCATAAGATTACAGTTCCTAAAAACATTAACATTTTCTACTCTTTGAATCAATGATGAAAAGAACTACAGCTCTATAAATTCAAAAATGTAATGTAACAAATCACTGTGCACATGTGAAAAAGAGATCAATATGCAAAAAGTTACAAGTTAATGCATAAACAGGTACATTTCTAACATATTTATATACACGAATACAAAGTCTTGTGAATTTGCATGAGGTAAGAGGTATTAATTTTTACATTCACCGCACATTAAAAACAGTGTCAGATGCTGAATGTTCATGGGAATAAATTTTCAAGCACAAGTAATGAAATAGGAAGTCACAGATTAGAATGACCTTTGAAAACAGACATGGTACAGTATATTATAAAAAGAAAGTCTTTCAAGCAGCATACATAAACCACAAAGGACTACTCACCATGTCATATGCAGTTACAATCTTTCTCAAGACCTCTGGAACAGTCCCTTGGATCTCCATAGTGGGATACTGATCATTGAGATTCAGTAGTACCAAGGGTGTACTATCAGGTCCGACCAAGCGGGTAGACACTGCCAGAATACACTGCATAAGATTTGCTACAGGAGAAAGGCCACATAATTCTTTGAATGAAACTACTGCATTCTGTTAAAAAGAAAATAAAAAAGTTACTTTACAGTTAACCATGATTTTTAATCTCTCATTCATTCAGTTTAATAGACTTATATTTCATTGTATAATAGTTATAACCAAGCGACAGTGTAGAACTATCAGTGGTTTTGTCCTGGAAAAATGGCAGTTTTCCAGAGCAAAGTATCGTAGATATTTGCAATATTTTATTTATCAGAGATATTAAAAATTCAAATAGACTTAAAATCCTGCTACAGAAAATAAATATTACTTAGAATAAAGAGGTTGTAATATGCTGCTATTAACTTCAAATTTTCAATAAATATAAAAACAATGAACTACTAATCCATGTTGATTGAACAAGCTTTTGAAAAGCTTCAAAAAGTATTTAAAATGTTTTTTAAATCCAACTGCTTAAAAGTTATGTGCTGAATGTCTCAAATAAACGTAGGAAGGTGGAGGGGGCAAGTCAGTCCATTTGTAACTTTAAACATACCTATTGTATGTCAGCATTCTCCAGACATGCTGAGGATCTGCTGGCTCCCACTTGGTGTGATGCTGGAATGCTGTACACCACTAGTGATGTCACACTATCACTCAGATGACCTTCTAAGAGTATTTGTTAAACCCAATATTGTACATTTTCCAAGAGTTTATAGTATTTTTATTTTGTAGGCTAGAATATAAAATATATATGTTTAAACTTAAGAAACATTGAAATATTGTAAACGTCAGCCATTTATCTTAATCCTATAAAATGATTCCAGCCTCCAGTCAATTCCCATGATGGGAGTGCTCTCCATCATAGTGAATTTGGGGTTGTTGCACCAAGTGGGAGGTGGCGATCTGTGGCAAGTCTGGAGTTTGTGGACCTGTAAGAGAAAATCAGTAAGTTTAAGTAACAAATGTTCCAAGTGCTCCTCTTATCTTGGTCATTTGGGATATTCTGCACATATTTTAAAGTATGTGACAAGTTTATAGGTCTTGAGTCACATTTTTACTTTCTGAAAGACCCTTTATACTGCCAGAGGGGTGTAAAGTGGTTTTAGTGTAAATTGGAATCAGGGCTTAAATGCGTACACCACTTTTAACAGGCAATGCACATCAAGTTGACCTCAACCTATTTTTAAATGAACATATTATGTATACATTTGTATACATAAATTATTTCCAGTACAGTGACTGGTACATCACTCAATTATTAACATAAATGTTTAACTGTGAGAGTAATTAGCCATTGGAACAATTTACCTAGGGTCGTGATCGATTATCCAATACTGACAATTTTAAACTCAAGATTGGATGTTTTTCTAAAAAAATATGTTCTAGGAATTATTTTGGGGAAGTTCTATGGCCTATGTTACACAGGAGGTCAAACTAGATGATCACAATGGTTCCTTCTGGCCTTGGAATCTATTAATTTTGCCTTTCAAATAATTCGTTTTCAATGTTTAGTAAACCAAGGCTATTTGTAATAATTAGATTGGAATTTAATAAAAGAATAGGACATCTGAAAAGACAGACCTTATACTGCTTTTCATTCATAGATCTCAAACTTTACAAGTGTGGATAAGCATTACAAACAGCAATTTTACAGAAAAGAAAACTAAGACCCAGGGAAGTTAAGTGGCTTGTCTAAGGGCACATAGTGAGTCAGTGGCAGGACAGTGAATAGAATTCAGGTCTTCTGACTCCCAGTTTGATATCTTACTCACTAGCCCATGCTGACTTTCATGATTCTCTGCACTGCACTGCCAAGCAACGTGAATGTTCTATACCGTATCCAATATAATCACGGACATCATACACTCAGCTGTGGAAGTGATACCAGCTTTTGTATTACTAACACAATGCACATTGCTGACTACAGAAAAAAGGCCTAGATATGGATAAAGGGATTCTAATGACTACTCAAACAAGATCTTGGTGTAATTCATTATACTTCTACGTGTACTTTATTCCATGAAATACTTTTCTATTTCATATTTAAAATACCTAGATACCTGAAGTTGTCTGTCTTTCTAGCTGCTATATCATGGTGATTATAGTAGTAAATGGATATGTAATTAAGAAATGAAACCATTTCAAATTCCCTGACTTATACATTTTGCAATTGTCTTTATTTTAATGGATTTTTTCATTTTTTTAGGCCTGTTTATACAGGGTGTAGCACAAATTATATTACAATTTAAATCTTATAGACATATTATTCAAATCTGTCAGTTAAAATAATCAAAATTAGCATTCTATCATTCACCTCAACTATACCCCTCTTGGGAACATTTCCAGGTATGCTACTGATAAGTTGGAAAGATGTAAATACATCTTTCAAAGTAACAAAATGAAATGCATACAAGGAAATTCCTTCCCATGGACTGACCCTAAAAAACCCTGCTAAATTACGTTTTTCAAAAACACACCAATCTGAAAAATAAAATAGCATACTAGTTACAAGCACACTTTCTTATTGTATATTCAAGTCTTAGGATCCAGGTTTCTCCTTAAGGCACTCTAATTCCATTGTGTATAGGCTAGGAGATTTTTTTTTTTTAGAGTCTTTCGTTAATTACAGATTACATTCCTATCATTTACCAGTCATAATCATGCCTCCACATTTTGCTAGTGATCTTTGCTTATGGAATAGAATGGGGAAGTTGCAGGAGACTGGATACAATTCATAAGAACAAATGTGCAACACATCATGCAAATCTGTCAAGTTAAAATAATCAAAATTATTCTATCATCCGCCTAAACTATATCTGTCTTGGGGACATTTCCAGGTATACTAATGATAAGTTGGGAAGATGTAAGTGCATCTTTCAAAGTAACAGAATGAAATGCATAAAAGAAAACTCCTTTCCCAAGCACTGCTCCTAAAAACCCTAATAAAATTACATTTTTCAAAAACACACCAATTCTGAAAAATAAAATAGCATGCTAGTTACGAGCACACCTTCTTATTGTATATTCAGATCTTAGATCCAGGCTATCCTTGATTAAGACACCTTAAAAAAAAATCTCCTAGCCAGTACACAATGGAATAACAGACCTTCCTTAATTACAGATTAGATTCACATCTAGTCTGCAATCTGAATCTCATTTACCAGTCATAATCATGCCTCCACATTTTGTTTGTGATCTTTGCCTATAATGATGTCCTTGGCATAAATCATACTGAATGGAATGGGGAAGCTGCTGGATACAATTCGGAAAAACAAGTGTAATCTTTAAAGTTTGCAATACTGTTAAAATCTTTCATTATTACAACTTTCAACATAACTTTATTCATAAACAAAAGTTATCTGCACTGATATACAGTAAAACAAATACCCTTTTAAAATCTGGAATTGAGCCTCAAGCATGTTTCTTTGAACCAGTTTTTCCTTAAAGTCACATAAAATAAGATTTAATGGGTAACTTTTTTGATATGGTTATGCTTACTTTTATTTTTTAGTGCTAGGACTTTTACTGTAGCTTTTATATAGTTAAAAGATTCATCAAACAGAATTTCTGTTTTTCTCTACTCTGTCCTAGATCAGCAGTTCTTGTAGCAGGAATGTTTATCGATACACAAAAGACGCAATCTAACAGTGGGATCCATAACCCAGCATTTTAGCCTACACTACTTCCTATCATTCTGCAATACTGTATTTGTTTGATATTGCAGTCTTTAAAACACCCCTTTTGGGGGAGAAGGAGTAACTCCATCCCCATTTAACTAGTTTGTAAAATACTAATGCTCTTTTGGATCCTGGTAAGGGAAGGATCTCTTTGAAAGGTCTGCTAGTGATGTGAGGAAATTTTTCACCTCATAAAGACATGGGGAAGCCATCACACTGTTTCATTTACAGCATCCTTGAGAATTCTTTCAGATATGAGGGGGTCTTTGAATATACAGTAAACTGTTCACAAGTTTTATTATTGTTAGTAATGTTTTCTCCCTGCACTTCTATTTTACTTAATTTCTTAAAACTGAAAAGTAGCCTCTACCTTTTTCTCCAGTATATCTAGTGTACTCCTTCTCAAGAAATAGGGCCAGTTAATAGGCTTGAATTATAGCACAAACCATGTGTTTCTACTAGGAGTTATCTTAATAGACAATATCATCCAGCTGCTGTTCAAATACAGTCTGTCCGTTTTTAAATTCGTACAGTATAAAAACATGATAAATTAATAATATTATAAAATGCAGTTAACATTTACATATCTATGTAACACACACTGCAGACACACCATAATGCAAAAGTACAACTGTGGCACAAACATTGATAATTTCATCGTAAAAACTGTACCTGCATATTTTCTCTCAGATCCGTGGCATCCCGTATAGGCTGGAGAGCATTCTTGAATACTTCATCTATGGGTTTAATCCATAATGTTCTCATAGAAGCATATTCCCTGGATTTCTTTCCTTTCCTCACTGAAAGGCCCCGTTTATGAGGTTTCCCACCACCCCTTCGATTAGTAATGGCAACATGTACAAACAAGAAAGCATGTGCTAAAATTTCTCCAGTTAAAGATTGCAGTGGAACATGCCGATAGCCTGTCTGTAAACACTCAAAGGGAATAGTGTACTGCCCAATAAACTCATCCCCAATGTAATCATCATCTAGTACTACAAAACGCATGACAGCTAGTTCAGGAAGATTAATTTGAAATTCAAAACTTTCATCAAAAATTGGATTGTCTCCATTTTGATGCACAGTTTTTGTCCTTTTTTCTGCACAGTCTGCTGGGATTCCATGAATTTCTACATATACATAAGGATCTACAACATCACCTTTGGCACCTGACCCTTTGGGTTTAGGAAAGTTTTGCCCACTAATAATTTTAACGTGAAGAAGCTGAGGTGAAACTCCAGGCACTGTATCTTTTGTATTTGCACTGAAGAAGGATACTTCCTCTCGCATGATGGCAGGACGAAGGACATAGCCACAATTTCCATTTTGTCGAAACCAACCAATGTTAAGATCCATCATTAAGCCAGGTGTCTGAAAGTTCATGGCTACTATCTGACAGCCACACTTCCAAAAATCCTGGGGATTCATATTACTAGAGTCAATCCTCATAGGGCTAGGAAAAACCCTGGCAAGAAAACGTTTGTTGTAATTTACAAAATCTCCTGGATTTTCATTGGCATATTTGCTAGCAAGCACTTCATTAAATGAACAAACTTCCCAGTATTTCTGGAGCTGAAATGAGACTTGAAACTCTTTGAACTGAACTGATTTACATATGCTTACCAATTCGGAAAGCTCTTTGCAAAGCTGAAATCGTTTCACTATCACAGTGTTTTGTTGTTCTGCACCCTCTTTCCCTACTCTTTGTGACATTTCTGCTCCTTCATCTTCATCTGTAACATCTCCCTCTAGCCCAGAGCAATTAGAGGAAAGCTTCTTTGCTTTAATTAGTATTTTCCCTTTAAGTGAGTCAGGTGAGGGAAGATAAGACTCTTCTATGTTTGGAGACTGTGTGTGTAGCTTGTCGCCCAAAATTTTCTTCATGTGTTGAACCATAACTTTCTGCTGCTTAATAGAACAATGATTTTCTAAACACAGAATAAGAGGGTATTCTGAAGCAAAAAATGCGTACTTGTTAATAATGTCAATTACACTGCGGAAGACTATCTGTGATGTCATTGTATGTCCTGTATAAATTAGAGGCTCATTATCTGGACCATCCCATACATCCAATTCAACACTTCGGCAACCCATTTTAAGAGCACGAATATATCCTGTGATATCAGATGGACCTCGGAACTGGTCCTCTATCAAGTATGTATTGTGAGATGAGTTTATGAAATAATGGGATAAAGGTTGTTTCATATCCTGACAAACCTTTTTATGCTCTGGATCAAATATATGACAGTCAGGTGAAGTAAGATAATTAGTAAAACCATCTATTGAGAGCCAGCCCTTTTCCTGGCCTTCTTTTGATGGTTCATATTTGTGAATAATTTCAAGGCTTATTTCTTCTGTGACATGTGCCATTCCCTGTTCTGCTTCTAAAAACATCATAAGGTCCTTGGTATCTAGGAATTCTTTATTGCTGGAAAACTGAACCAATAAGAAGTAGATCTCAGGTCGGGTACAAAGCTCATGGAAAACTTCAATAAATTCTTCCTTTGTGACTTCAGTACCAGTTTTGTCCTTGGATCTATGTAACTCTTTGAACTTCAGCTCAATTTTACTTGTTTTTAAACCCGGATTTAATTTTTTTATAAACTGAACAGCTTTATAAAGGGCTATATGTCCAAAATTATCTACATCAGTTTCACTAAACATTTGTGAAACCCATGAAGTCCGCATATTATCTTGGCTACTTTCTATCATATCTAGTGTATGTTTTCCATAAGAAATTAGGTATCTTAGCCCAGTTACCCAAATGTTTGCAATATCTGCTGAGTTAGCAACGAGATCTAGAGACTCATAGTTATCTCCATAAATAATAGAAAATGCACAGTCTTCTGATATCTGGTCATAAATTCCATTGCTGCGGAATATATCTGTATTTTTTCCTGTTCTCACTTCTTTGACTGATTTAATATCAATCTTTGCTTTTTCCGAATCCTTCTTTGAAGGTTCCCAACGCAGGGACTGCATATCTGCATCTAAAAGAAAGTACCGGTGATAAACTCTAGAGTTGGACCGAAACTTTCTGAGCTCAGAGCCTTCAACCATTGCATTAATACAGTCACTTGCACTACTGATCTTCTTCTCAGTTGGCATGCTGCTAAATGACACAGTCTTCTTCCGTTCTCTCTTTTGTTTTGTACCATCCTGTGGAATTAAAAAAAAAAAAGTCAATATGAGCTTGTTTATAGGACATGCAAAATCTTTATGTTCAAAGTTCAAAAATTAATTGAGGAAAATCTAAAGAAGGTATGTTGGACAACAAATCTTTTGTTCTGACACCACAAATGCAAAATCTGACACACTAACAACTGCTTAATGATTGTGTTTGCATAACTATGTATGTGGCATTTTTGAAAACATGGGTTTTTTTGCATCACAAAGCTTAGGTTTTGTATGCCCACAAAATTTAACAAAACAGGTTTTAAAAGTAAAAAAATTCATAGTATTTTGTTAATAGCAGCATGGTGAAATAGGTATCTCACATTTTACTAACAAGATGGTGGGAAGTAATCTGTTCCCCTAAGCCCTCATGCAGTCCTTGTAATTATTTGTAGATCCCTGACACCGTATTAAATACAGTGCTTAGATATCATGGCAATAGGATCCTTAGAAATACCAGAGACAGACTGATACACAAATAAAGAGACGGGTCATGTCCTCACAGAACTTACAATCTAAGTACTGACAGGCAAAACAACATGCACATAGCTCTTCCTCCCTCCCTATCCTGCCCACTGAACATCCCCGATACACACTCTTCCCAACCTGAACTGGGGAAATTCTCCACTAGTCATATCTAGCTGCTTTATGACAGCTTAATGATTTTAGCAGACAGGAGAGTCTGACGGAGAATATTGGGATGTATAGTAGTGATTTGGGGGTATAGTCTTTGCTAAGATTACTGGGGTTTAGAAGGTGTCACATAAGAGGAGTATCTTAAGGAAGAATTTGAAGGGGGGCAGGTGAAGGCATGGAGGACCAGTTTGGCAACAGTGGTTCAGCCTCATCTTTAGAAAAATGATTCACCCACCATTTCTGTTTTGTGTTGACCCTAAATTTTCCTTATACATTAACTACTGCAGAAAATGACTTTTTAAAGAAAAACAATACCACTTAGCCAGCTCCACTCGAACTTTGTATCCAGTTTAAGTTCACCTGAATGACAATAGCCTAGTGCAATATGTAATGAGTTTCAAAAGAGAAATAATTACATATGTTCATTATCTTGTACCATTCAGACAGAAATCAGCCTGAGAAAATTTCTAGGAGTGTTTGAAAAATGGACATGTCTTGCAAAAGGACTCAACTTCTTGTCTGTAAGTTCTAACACAATCCTTCCCATGGAAGAACCTCTTGATATCAGATCTCAAGAACAGCAATTTTTCTATTTGCATAATCCTGCAAGGTTCAAATAATTACTTTTCCAGATTTGTATAGAAAAGTTTTGGTGGGGTGTTTTGTTTTGTTTTGTTTGTGAGGGAGGATTTTCTCCCTAGTACTTTTCCTCTAGAAATCTGTTTAATTTTCATTCCAGTGCGAGCAAAGATTGCTAATACGGGCGGCAGCAGGGGTACTTTTACTAGATTGTTGTCTCTCTGTTCAAATAGAATATTTGAAATACAGATACATTTCCACAGAACAAATTTCTGGAAACATTTCCATATGTAATCAAAGGACACAAATAAAAATATGCATCTCACAACAGTCCACTTACGTGGTACCCTATATATAGCACCTAATCTAACAGATAAAAGGCAAAATGCTTCTCCCATCAGTACATTTGGAAAATATTCATTTAGATGTGAAAATGGAGAATTCTGTTTTTCTGATTTAACATGTAAAGCCACCTTGCCAAGTGTTTAATAGATTTAGTACTTGTAGTTCCACATAAAAATATAAAGTTATCAGACATGAATATTGCATCTTTAACGACAGCAAAATCTGTTTTAAGAAACCACCCATGAGACCATCAAAAATTAGTTGCCCCGTACACATGTTTTTTTAACTACAGATCAAACTAAACTGCATTGAAAAACTCATGGGATTGCTTCTTGGAGTTGGTCCTTAATTATAAATTGTTCTTTAAGTATTTTAGATTTTCAGCAACAATTTGATTAGAGTTATTTTCTGAGTTTCAATAAAATTCAGTGATAAATATGATTATTATTTACATGGAGCAGCCTTTTGTTTTTATATTCTTGTAGTACTAGGATACTAATTTTTATTCTCCAACGGACAAGCTCAACAGAATACTTGCATTGTCTGTCTCAAAACAAACCTGTCTAATAAGTGGATGGCATGGGAAGTCTGAATTGTTTTGTGCATTTTTGAAAATTTTTTTTAAGACAGAACAAATAAAATACTTCAGATTAATACCAGGGTGGATAAAAATCAATGATTAAAAAAAAATCGGATTGTTTTTCTTTAAATCTTTTTTTTTATACATTGTGTTTTGAGGGAAAAAAACCTAGCTAATTAAGATACATTATAGCTCAAAGATATCTCACCACAGAATAGGGATTATAAATTCTAATTCTATAGTATGAGACAAATATATTCATGTAATGTTTAAGAAAAGTTTTGTAAATGAGTTCCAATAGTTCATGGATTAGGGACCCAATCTTATAGGATTTCAGGGGCTTCTGTATAGATTATTTAGGTTAATCTTTCTATCTATCCAATGGGACTTGATGCTCAGTCTTCTAGATGGTACCATCAGAGATGCTTAGTTTTGCAGTTCTCAAACTGTGGATTTGTGTCTCCGAGATAACATGCTTGTTAACAGCAAAAATGTTTTTAAATAAATAAATAATATATCGAGGTGAGAAATAACAGACCTCAACCCTATTGTCCCTCTGCAAATTTGTGTACACAGAGTCAATCCCTTACCTCTCTCTGAAAGTGCAAAGTTTCAAAAAGTTCAATGAATAGAAGATTGTTGGGGGCGGAACAGATCTGGACAAGGAGAAGTCTGGAGATAAATGTGAGAAGGGAGGGACAGGCAGTAGAAACAAAAGTGAAACTGTTTGAGCAGCATATTCCAGAAGTCTTGAGGTCTTTCTGAGTGTAGCCTTCATTGATTTGAGATCTACCATACCAGTCTCTCACTTGAAGGGAAAACCTGTAATGGCAGCAGGCCGTAAAAGAAGTTTGGGAATATTTTAATGAAGTTCCCCTACCTGTTGATAAGACAGGCATGCATGCAAAATGCAAACAGTGCAACAAAGAAATGCAAGGCCTGGTTGCCAGAATGAAACAACATCATGAGAAGTGTTCCTTCTCAGGAGGAAGCTGCATTGAAGATAATGAAAGGAACATGTCTGAACATGCAGGATCTTCAGGTTGCTAAACTTTTTTATTTCATACTTCTTTCTTAAGGACTGCTTGTCTTCCTTCTGGACTATTCTTGAATTCTCATGTTTGAGCAAAAAATATAGTAGTTACTCTATGGTACTATCATTTTAGATGCAGTTGTGATAAAAATAGGAGGATGAGATATAAACTTGTATTACTGATGTAAACATGTTAAGTGGAAGCCATTAAGTGTGCTTCAGAATCAGTCACCTGTAAATGGCTCTGTTTACTTGCAAACCTTCTGATGTATGTGCTGGCCAGACTTGGAAGAATGGAGACTAGGGGGTCTCACAGGACATGTGACCATGTCACATGATACTGGAATCCATCTTAAACCTGGTGCTTTTCCATTTAGAAGGAGGGGTGGAAACCCAGAGAGAGACAAAGGATTCCCGCCTTGTGCCAAAGTTATAAAAGGGGGTAGAACAGAACAAAGGGCGGCCAGTCATGAGAAATCCCCAAGTTACCACCTGAGCTGGAACTAACAAGGTCTATACCAGGGAAAGGATTGGGCCCAGACTAGGAAGGAGTCTAGTCTGTGAAAGAAGCTTATTGGAACATCTCTGAGGGTGAGATTTACCTGTATTCAGTTTCTTAACATATTAGGCTTAGAATTACATGTTTTGTTTTATTTTGCTTGATAACTTACTTTGTTCTGTCTGTTATTACTTGAAACCACTTAAATTCTACTTTTTATACTTAATAAAATCACTTTTGTTTATTAATCAAGCCAGAGTAAGTGACTAATACTTGGGGGAGCAAACAGCTGTGCATCTCTCTCTATCAGTGTTATAGAGGGCGGACAGTTTATGAGTTTACCCTGTACAAGCTTTATACAGAGTAAAACAGATTTATTTGGGGTTTGGATCCCATTTGGAATTGGGTGTCTGGGTGCTGGAGACAGGAGTACTTGCTGAGCCGTTTTCAGTTAAGTCTGCAATTTTGGGGGCGTGGTTCAGACCCTGGGTCTGTGTTGCAGCAGGCTAGCGTGTCTGGCTCAACAAGACAGGGTTCTGAAGTCCCAAGCTGGCAAAGGAAATGGGCTCAGAGGTAGTTTTAGCACATCAGGTGACAGTCCCAAGGGGGTCTATATGACCGAACCCTTCACAATGTATTAAGGTTATAACAACCAACAAGAATGCACTTTTATGTAGAAATCCATGATTAAATTGAGTCTTCCTGACTAGTGATTTAAATCATGATTTAAATCAATTTGATTTAAATCAAATCCACCCTGCTGCCCTACATCCTCCTGGTCCACTTTGGGATAGTTAATGCTCCTAGCAGCGCTAGCTCTATGTAGTCCTCCATACTTACACTCATCTGAACATAAGGATTGTGATTGTGATGGAAAGGTGCACAAAGAGGTTAGGCTTTTTGCATCCTCAATCCATTCCTAGTGTCTTTAATGTGCTCTTTTTAGTGCACTACTTAGCAATTATATCAGTTTCTCAAAAATATACAGGTTCCTTCTCTTCTTTACATGTAACCAGATGTCCTGATTTTTGGGTCTTTTTCTTATATAGGCTCCTATTATCCCTCACCCTCTGTCCCAATTTTTCACATTTGCTGTCTGGTCAACCTACATGTAATGGTTTGTGTCATCAACAAGTGACATGCTATAAAAGTAAATATGTAAATAGTTGAGATATAAACTCTAAAATACCTTTCAAAACTCTTTGTAAAAATAACTTACCATTGAAGGTTCTCTCATACAAATATAGAGCTACCATCCTGGGTCATTAACTCTTAGTAGCACCTACTACAACAACAACAACAAAAAAGGACTG